TGGAGCTGTTGACCTCATTGTTGAGGTCCAGCCCCGACTAAAATGAATGTATCCGTGTGGTTTTAACTTGTCTTATTTTATTTTTACTTTCTTTTATTTTCTTTCTCTCCCCTTCTGTAAGCCGCCCGGAGTCCTCCGGGATTGGGCGGCCTATAAATAAAATTAAACAAACAAACGATTTATTTTCTGTTCTTGATTTTGAAAGAACAGCTCTTCCATCTCTTCCAAAGGGGCAAGATACTATCTCACCCCCCCCCCCTCCACTTTTCTGTGCTGCAAATCTTTTACTATTCACCACCTGGATGTCTGATATATATATTCATTGTGTGTCTGCAGACATAAGGGGCTGGAAACTTGATTACTTTGGGGGGATTGCTTAATAAACACTGAAAAGTTGGGGGGGGGGAATAATTCTATAGCCATCACTGGCTTCTGCCTCTTTTCTAAATTTTCAAATAGAAAGAAGCTAATAGGTTCAATTTATATCCCACCTTTTCATTCAGGAGTCCTAAGTGGCATATCTAGCACTCTTCCTTCCTTTCCGCCCCCCCCTCCCCCCAACATCTTCCATATCAGAGGTTGGACATAGAAAGAGCATAATAGACCCAAAGTCAATATCCAGCCGAAACAGCTTCCATGGATCGCCATACATTTCCATGGAAGTCGCCTATACCCACGTTGGGTGAAGAGGTGTCGAGTGAGTGAGTGAGTGAGTGAGTGAACTTCCATGGCTGAGTGGGGGTCAAGAACCTGAACCTCTCTGTTCCTAGCAGATCTCTTAGCCACTAAACTTGTCCATCACAGTATTTCAATCATCTGGCTAAACAGTGCAAAATAGAAGACTGTCAACCTGAGATTCTGCAGGGAAGTGGGTGTTTTTCTTGTCCTTACGAAAAATCGGTGCGTAGGCTTTGTGTCAAGGTAGTAGTGCTGCTCCAGGTTTATTCAATATCTTCCCTCTTTTTATTTTTATTTCGTCACCTTCAGGAGAGAGGTTGGCAGTCCCGTTGCTAAGCTCCCTACAATAACTAGCCTATAATTTTTTTCTTGCTTGCTTCCTTCTTAAATTATAGGAGTAAATGCCAATCTCTATTTTTGGGGGGGTGATGGTGGGAGAATTGAGAATACTGTGGACTGTTAGGAGAGGTATGGCTTCCTCTTTTTCCATTGCATTTTCCAGCCCTTTCGGAAGCCTAGAGGAAGCAGGGGAGGGATCGTGAATTAGCTGTTTCTGTGCCAGATCTGTCACTCCCTGCTGACCCAGCACAAACTAACATGGATTGGCAAAGGACCCTGGCATTGCTTTCTCCTTGCTCCAGTAAGCCCCTTTGATTTCTATGCTGAATGCACCAGAAAGAGTTTTGTCATCAGACACCAATAAAGCTTTGCTTTGTGTGGGTTAGTGAAAGCCCATCGAGAAGGGCTGACCAAGTAGAACAGGACTCCTAATTTTGCAGCCCATCTGCCTTCCTTGGCTTTCCTTCGTTGTCAACCCCAAAGCTGAGTGATTGGCTAAAGGAGGGACAGGCTGTGGTTACTGTCCTTCATCTCTCGGCGCATCCTTTGTTTTTGCACACTAACTTGGTTAGAATTCATGATTGCTGTTGGCAAAAGACTTAAAGGCCAAACTACAGCAGGGACATTGGAAGAAATAATCAGAATACCCAGGCACACTACACGGTTTTTATGGTTCCACCACAAATCCGCGAAGCCCTTATCCGCGGAGACATAAGCGCGAAGACTAATTCGCGCCGTTCAAAGCTCTAAGGAAAAACGCGACCCTACCGCGATGACATAATCGCGGAGGGCA